TTGTTTTTCACGTGTATTTATTTTAGAGACAGAGAAACAGAGCACAAGTGGGGGAGGGGCAGAGAGAGAAGGAGACACAGAATCCTAAGCAGGCTCCAGGCTCTGAGCTGTCAGCACAGAGCCCGACGTGGGGCTTGAACCCACAAACTGGGAGATCATGACCTGAGCTGAAGTCGGATCCTTAACCGACTGAGCCACCCAGGCACCCCAGTTCTGATGTTTAAAAGATCACTGTGGTGCTGAGAGAATTGATCACCAAAGGTGGCAAGGGGAAATGAGAAGGTCAGTTGGGGCGAGAGGTAATCCATACTTAGATGATGGTTGGCTTGGACTTGTGGGGGCGAGCGGTCCGCTAACAGACATGGAAGAAAATGGATGGATGGATGTTGGGCACGGAGCCGGCAGGGTGTCCTGTCGAACTGGGTGGGGGATGAGGGAGAAGGAGGTTTGGGTGGACAGGAGACAAAGAAGAATGAATGAGGCTTCTTTTCACCCTTTGCCATTAGGGACCGTCAAGATTTCCACTGTGAGTGACAAGTTTGGATTCAAATAGTACAGAATTCTAAGAGAGCAGGGTTTGAGGCTTGGGCTGGAGACAGCCATTGGGAATTACAAGCTTTTATTTATTTATTTTTTTAATTTTTCTTTTAATGTTTATTTATTTTTGAGACAGAGAGAGACAGAACATGAGCAGGGAAGGGGCAGAGAGAGAGGGAGACACAGAATGTGAAGCAGGCTCCAGGCTCTGAGCTGTCAGCACAGAGCCTGACGCGGGGCTCGAACTCACGAACTGTGAGATCATGACCTGAGCCGAAGTCAGACGCTTAACCGACTGAGCCACCCAGGCACCCCAAGGGAATTACAAGCTTTTAACACATTTCTCATTGACCCCCCGACCACTTCGCTCCCTGGTCTGTGTGTCAGCCAGGGTGACGGCTTCTGCCTTGCAGCCTTTGCGTGTTCCCTCACTGGATTGTAAGTTCTGGAAGGGTGGGGCAGTGCCTGCCCGCATCCTGGGTGCCCACTCATTTCCGAGCGAGGGACGGTTCCTTGTGCTTGAAGGATGTCCCTCCTCCAAACCCTCTACTCTGCCGGCTCCCCGTGAGGACCCTCTCCTGGATCCACACCACACTGGGCAGCGCTAGGTCAATATCCCGCCTTGATCTGAGGCCCTCAGGGTGAAAGAACTCAGCTACAGCATCACCGAAGTAGCCGTCTGTGGTTGCGTCTCCAGCAGCGGCAGAACTGAAGTCAGAACTCCCACACCAGCGGGCCGGCCTACCTGTCAGAGACATCCCAGTTCTGATTTTGTGCGAGGCCCGAACAAGTAGGAGGTGGAGTGGCTTCACCCCAAGTGATGTCGGCCCTGTTCCCTGTGTAGCACCAGCCATCTGGCTTCGAGGCACAGCCAGTGTGGGGACTTGGGCAGCGTCCTCCAGGCTCCGTTTCTCTCCTTTGCTTGGCATCCCTCTTGGACACCCAGTGCCACTGCTGTCAGCCTCACACTCTCCTCGTAGCTCCTGCCTTCGGCCGAGAGGGAGTCAAGCCCCTGGCCTTTTCCTTTCGTGCTGTCTGGGCCACACGCCAGTCCTGTGCCTCTCCCGGCGCCAGGGGGCACACACCTGTGCTCGGCAGGCCGGCAGCAGGGACCTGGGTGGGGAGAGGGCGTTCTGGGACACGGGGGGGCCTGTCCTCCCAGGAGCCCGTGGAGGTAACTGGGTTCCTCCCCTGTCTCACAGACCACTTCCACATGCAGTCGGAGTCCTTGATCGGCCCCCTGATGCAGAGCATCTCACACCAGCACTGGAAGGTGCGGGTGGCTGTCATCGAGGCCACCGGCTCTGTGATCCAGTTTGGCAGCGGGAAGTCGGTGGACGACGTCCTCCCTCACTTTGCTCAGAGGCTCTTCGATGACGTCCCCCAGGTAACGAGTTTCTCCTCTAGGTGGTCCGCCCCTCTTCACCGGGAACGCGCTATTTGTAACTTCTTTTTTTCTGTAAAACTCTTACCTGTTGCCCCGGACATCTTGCATCATTCGCCGTCACTGGGTGGTCTTAGTTCACGCCTCTGGGAAAACGGGGAGAGTTGAATTGTTTTAATATGTTCGTTGTTCTTCACTTGGGGGAACGTGGGACGGGAGTATTTCCTCCTTGGAAAACAGTCGAACTGTGTGTAGCGCGTGGTTTCAGAGGCGTCTGTGAGACGCACGTCCATTGAGGCGGATTGATGAACCCCAGCGGTTGGTGAACCAGAACTGTGAGGAGGAGGAGGAGGAGGGTCAGAATTGGTGTGTCGGGGTCATGTTTCTGTTGGGCCTTGGGACCCACCGAGAGAGAGACAGACCGAGACCAGCATGCTGGCTTTTCTGTTGGCAGAAGTCAGGTGGGAGGCTGGGTCATGGATGTGAGGCCACAGTTTGCTTGTAGAACCTGAAGACCCCCGGCAACAACAAGGGGAGGAGAGCCACCCGCCCCCCAGAGAGAGGAGACGGGGAGGGGATCACTTAGGGGAGGGAGGAGATGGACCAGGGGGTCGCCCGGGGAGGGAGGGGCAGCGGTTGCTGGCGGAAGTCCCCCGAGTGGTTAGAAAGTGCCCCTGCCCGTGGCCGTGGGGGCATGAGGTGGCCCAAGGTGGCCAAGGACTGAAAAGCTGGTGCTATGGCCGCCTGGCCCCTGCTGTCCCGATGGGGGAGCACTTGTGTGCCGGCCCCTCCCCCCATTGTCCACACACCGTGTCCTTTAACCCTTCACACCAGCTGCTCGCATGTCCCCTGCGGTCTAGAAACGGTGCTGCACGCTCAGGGTGGCCCCGCCGGAGCTGGCCCCCGGGGCCCAGGTGTGGTGACACTAGAGAGTGTTGCCCGGCACCATCCGTTCGCCTGGCCGCAGGCACGCTTCAGTTTCCTTCCAAGTTGCTTTGTTTGGTTTTATTTTTTTACGCAGCTTTATGGAGCTACAATTCACATAGTGTGCAAATCACTCACTTAAATGTTCGACGTCTTTGGTATGTTATTTTTAGAGTGTTTGGTAAAATACGCGTAACGTAAAGTGGGCCATTCCTACCACTTTTGAGATGGAGTTCGGACGCGTGAAGTACATTCACGACGCGGTGGGACCGCCGCCGTTAACCACAACTTCTTCCCATCGCACCCTCCCCCTCCTCCCCGCCCCCACTCCCTGCTGCCCGTGAGCAGGACAGCGAGTGGTCTTGGTGGCTCTTCCACCAGGCGACGTGTTGGAGCGGGGGTCACGCTGCGTTCCTCCGTGAGGCTGAGGGATCGCCGTGGTGCGGTGGGCTGTATTCTGTCCCTTCACCCGTCGCCGGGCGCTTGTGCCAACGTGGGGACGCGGGTGTCTGAGCCCATGTTCGCTTCTCTGGGGCCGGGGCGTAGACCCAGGAGTGGGGGTGCTGGGTCGTACGGTAACTGTCTGTTTGGCCTATTGAAGAGCCATCGGGCCATTCTCCGCGGTGGCCGCGCGCCTGGCATTCCCGGCAGCGGTGCGCAAGGGGTCCGCCCCCTCCACATCCCCATGGCGCTTCTCCGGGGTCTGTGTGTGTCTGTCGCCGTCCTGCCGGGTATGAAGCGGCGTCTCAGTGTGGCCCGTAGGCACGTGTACACATGTGCACAGAAGGGGCCCCGATGCCTGTTGGGGTTGTGTGGACGGCTTAGAGCTTCTTACCACTTGCTGTTGGATTCCTGACGAGGCAGAGGGGCTGGGGGTGGCCCCGGCGCCCCTTGGGGACTGGCGGTGCCTCTCGGCAGGATGAGTCTCCCTCAGGGCTCTAGGGGCCAGGACAGAAGTCCCCCTCAGTTGCCCGCCTGTGACGTCCCGCACCGGGGTCCGGGTGTGACGTGCCAGATGCCCAGGATGTCGCTTCAGGCTGTGTCCATACCCCTCAGGGACAGAGAGCCCTTCCCTGCTCCCAACAACCTGTGGGCCGCTGAACGGGGGTGACTGGGGACGCTGCCCCCCATCCCTCCCCGTGAGCTGGATGGGGTCGGCACCGGGCAGCATGGGAGGTGGGGACCGAGAGCAGAAGCAGGCTCTGCCCCGGGAGGGGGCGGGGTGCTGGGTCGGCTGCAGCCTGGACTGGAGACGGGCCGCGACTGGAGACCTGCTGCGGGAGGCAGGGGCCGAGCTGGATCCCGGTGGCAGGCGGTGGTGCCGCCATCCCTGGGACGGCCTCCCTCCCGGCTTGTGCCAGGCGGACTCGAGGCGCTTGGGCAGATGGAACAGCTTTCCTCGAAGGAGCGTGATGACTGCGTACGACAGCTTTGTGTGAACAGTGCTACTGAGTATCAGTCGGCAGCTTCCCGTAAACAGCCTGTTTGTGTCACAGGCCCCGTGAGTGTGGACCTGTGAATGGGTGTCGACAGGTCCCTGTAAACCCTATGGCTGCGTGTCAATGGACAGGTCCCTGAGAACGGCACGGCCGTTGCTGCCGTCAGGGGCAACATTCCGCCTCCTTGCTGACGGAGTTTTCCAGAACTTGGGGCTGCAACTCTTTCTTGTGGTTTAGTATTCCAGAAACACTGTCCGCTATTAAAGCTATCTTTATTTTCGTTTCTTCCCGGTGGGATTTGATTTGCTCTGCACAATTTCCAGGGCCGATCGAGGTAGGATTTCCAATCCAACCTGGAGCTGGCCACCAGCTTTCTCGCCCATGAGGGGTCCTGTCAGCGGGGTGCCCAACAAGTTCCTCGCGGTGAGTTGGTAGGGAAGTCACTGGCTACCCCTTATGTGTCTGCACGGGGTCTCAGGCCCTTGTGGTCCCGGGCTCCGCGGGTGTTTCTGTGGTTTCAGGGGCCGGGCCTCTTGCGGACCCGCGGTCCCATGGACAGCCTGGGGCTGTGTCCGGATCTCACCACGCTCCACGCGGAAGGTGAGGATCTCTCTGCTCCGTAACTTGTGCAAAACATCCCACAGCTACTGTCCTATGGCTTTTGCTGGACCGTATCCTGGGTCACCACACTGCAGGGCGGGTGGC